GACTTACAATTATATGGACGTCGGGTCCGCGCTAAAAAGTGTCCGAACGTATAGGACGTTAAAATCGTATACAGAGCGTCATTCACGCTTTAGTCTTCGTTTGTTCGACTGACAGCGAAGCAAGTAAAATTAGACAGTACTGCGATGACATTACAATTTAAATTCAACGTTTTAGCTTTTTCATATTCCTTTACATGTCACTACGTTTAAATAGGTTGACTTGGGACATTTTTTTTCGTGGTTTTTGTATTAGACCCGTCGTCCATTTATTTGTAAGTCAATGGTGTCTCTTGAATGTTAAGATGTGATATTCTATTATTTTTTGTGAAGTTACTCCACTAGTTTGGTATCATTATTAAACAAAGATACACTTATACGACTAGATTCGAACCAACGTTTCCTACCAAACTGTGTCAGACGCTATGCCCACTAAGCCACGGATCGAACCAACGGACCTCACGAATATTTCCATGTGTTTCTTTTAGTTTTTAACGACTTTTTGCCGTAGCGCCATCTTTGAGAAAATTATGACCCAAGTTCTTAATATGTGGTACCTATTTGTAGCTTTAACATGACATAAGTATTATATAAAATGTTATGAAACAGATAACTAATTTGTTTATTATATTTAAGATATTCTTTCTTTTATCCGCTCACGCGATACATGCAGCCGTAGAGGCATACCACACCTAGAGGTGCCGGTGATGATTTTTTACCGATTTATCTGATATCGAAGTTATAACATGTAAAAAAACTAATATTAATTGCTACTTCGGTAACTACTCTAGCAAACCATAAAGTTTTTAATGCCTGGGTCTGTCATTTAAAAAAATAAACAACTTCAAAAATATATCACGACAATCGTGTGATTCGTGTGTGTGTTGTTTGGGCTGGTGATTTCGGTGTTTATTTATTGAAAACATGCCGTAAGTAGCGTTTTTTAAGTTTACCCTGAATATAAATGTTTATAAACTATACTTTAAGGAGTAATTTCATGGTAAACGTTAGAACTACTCAAACGGAATATTATCATATTTATCCAAGTACACCAAAAATTTCATTAGGTGTATTACTACATTTTATTTGAGATGTTTTTGTTGGTAGTACGGAGGGTATTTATTTAGCAATGCAGAATAATAATTTTTATTTATAAAAACTTGTATTTAAACTGAATGCTTTTCTAATTTGTGAAACCAAATAGCCGCCATTTTGCGGTAGGAGGAGCGCATCGCGTGAGCGGTTATTGTCTTCTGTATATTACGTGAATATCATCATCTGTTGGTAGGTCAATGATCATCGTCAATCCGTTATATGTTTCACTACTGGGTACGGGTCTTCTCCGAGGAAGAAAGTTTATGGCCTAGTCCGCCACTGCAAAAGTTTTTCAAGGATTGTGAATCTTCTTATACATACAGATCTTGCACGATATTTTTTTTTTTATAATATCAAGTGACGGGACGCCTTTAACATTAGAGATATCGCTTCTAAATATTCAGAGATGGAAGTAAGTTTACATATCTATGCTGTTCGAATTCTAATGAAGAATTTATAAATGTTTACGACAAATAATTAGAACCAATCCACTTGTGACTGGTTTCTCCTATCGTATCAATGGATTCTCTTTTGTCAATAAGATTCCTGCAGCTTGATTTTGATTGCCTCTCTCGTTCGGGAACTGCGTCTTTTCCGAGTCGTACATTTATGGAAGATCGTGATTTAGTGGTAAATAACCTAAACCATTTTGATCTAAAAAATAATTTATCCTGCTTCTTCTCCGATGACTCTACGCGCATTTGACCTCCATCTCACTTGATGGCAAGTGATTTTGTGGTCGATATAACGCCTATACTGCCTCGCTTGAAAAAGCCCAATTAGTAATATCATTCAGGGAACAAATATCTACAAGTACGGAATGCGATGCCTATTCTATAGTAATAAAAAAAAATTAGTAAAAAAGAACACCGTTCTCTAAACTAATTATAATTTTATTGTATACAACCTCAAATAGCTTTGGTTGATTGAAACACAAACTCACCTCGAAATTTTACAAGAAAACCGCTGTATTCAATAAGTACTTTATGTATTGTATACCAATGTTTTTTTATATATCAAGTGAACTAAATAGAACATGTATAGTATACGATATACATTTTTCAAACAGCTTTAATTTCGTTTGATAAAAAATTTATTTTGAAATAAAGTCAGGGACACTGCCGCTCGACCCAAGCAAAGTGAACCGTATTAGTACGGTAAAAATTTTAATTAGAACTGAGGTAGTGTAAGTTACACAATAATACAAATTTAAATGTTTATTTATACACAGAGCCACCCCTTGAATTTCTTACTCATTGTTCTCAGGGGAAACGGCATTACGAATGAATAGTAGTCTCTAATCAATATGACTATTTCAAGTATAATTTACTCAACTATGAAATAAAGACTAGAATATTGAAATTGGTCGTGTGGGAGAGTATCTCGAGGTCAAATCGGAATAAGTAGTCATGAAAACTGGTTTCGCAAAAACTGACCGCAAACACCGTCTGACACGGACTTATGACGCCAATAAATTTTTCATATGTTTATGGTCACACGTTACCACATGATTATGACATTTTATTTCTTAAATGGAATGTAATTTGGTTTCGTTTGATCAAATTGCACACTTACCGTCAATATACTTTGCGGTTTAACCAAAATTGTTTACATGACCCCGTAATTTATCTCTTAGGCTCAATTTACATTGCTATTGAACAAAATAAAAAAGAATATTTTAAGTACTAGAAGCATTGACTTACAATTATATGGACGTCGGGTCCGCGCTAAAAAGTGTCCGAACTTATAGGGCGTTAAAATCGTATACAGAGCGTCATTCACGCTTTAGTCTTCATTTGTTCGATTGACAGCGAAGCAAGCAAAATTAGACAGTACTGCGATGACATTACAATTTAAATTCAACGTTTTAGTTTTTACATATTCCTTTACATGTCACTACGTTTAAATAGGTCGACTTGGGACATTTTTTTCGTGGTTTTTGTATTGGACCCGTCGTCCATTTATTTGTAACTCAATGACTAGAAAACAATAACGACCCTTAAGTCAATTGTACGTACAAACTATTTTTTTGAAAATTTGCTACCATCCAACGGTCGCTATCTAGTTGTTACGTTACACGATTGACATAAGTTCATTGTGCTAGGTATGTTTTTTTTGTTTAAAATAAGTGCACATGTGATCAACGTCTCACTTGATGGAAAGTGACGATGTAGTATGTAGGTACATCTACATAACCCCTATTCACTATCGCGTTAAAAAGGCCAAAGTTATGGAACAAATGGGCAGGAAGAGATTTTCACTTCAACGCCTTACGACATATAAATATGGAAGCCGTAACATGAAAATCCTTAGAATATCCACAGCATAAGGGTGGAACCCCAGCCTACGTCTAGTCCCCCAATACAAAGGTTATGGCGAAATGATTTTGTGCAATTCATCATACTCTCTGTAGAATACAGATAAGCGAGCAACTTTACGGCGATGACAAGAGTTAGCAGCTTCGCATCTACTAAATCCGAGTCACTGAAAAACCTCTTGGTACGTTTCTCAATGGAATTCCAAGTGGCCATTTGGTATTTAGCAGATCCACCCCACAGACGACAGCGATACTCTACACACTACCGGACTTGTGCTTGATACAGCTGTAGCAACTGTACCGGTGTGAAGAGCTCAACAGCCGACAGCTCCGCCACCAAAGTGGAGATTTAGGGGACTTTAGAGCCAAGGGCCTAGACGTGACAACCGTTAGTTGTGCAATGCACAACGGGAAGTGAATATGCCAGCAGCTTCGGTACCTGCCTGGAAAGTAGGGAGGGTACTGTACGTGCACCCAGTGCCGCTCACCCGGGGCCTCTTGAGGACTGGATGAAGTTTGTATCTGTGACAACCTTGTCCACGGGCTGGTCTGGAGTCAAGACTTGGACTTATAAGGACTCAGTGCTTGGACGGGTTATAGAGTCCTTCCCGAATAACCAAAAGGGGAGGGATACTAATCAAAACTTAATTAGAAAAATATGGGACTGTTCCGGTGTGAAGTAACGCCTCACCTGCTGCTTTGGAAATCCTTGTTGGCTGCGTTCGTAGTCATGGATTCAAATGTATCTGCCGTAGTTCAAACTGAACGACAAAGTCCATTCCAAGTAGCTGGACAATCAGATATCGGTATGGATATGTCTGGACAACGACAAATCGGTATCAGTGGGACAATTTTGCTTGCATTACTTGCCAACCAATGTAAATTGAGCTTTACTTTGATATTAAACGCTTTATTTTCTGTTATTACATTCTTGTCATATTCTGCAATAGATTCCCGATCTTTTCAACTTATACAAACATTATTAACGTCACTTCTCACCTTTTTTGTTGCAAAGCAAATATTATATTTATTGTCAAGTAGAGAGGGATTGGAAAACATTTTACTTAAGTAGTGGGTACGTCATTCATCATCATTAAGTTATGTGAAATCTGTGAAGAGCTTTATGATTTTTTAGTGACTCGCATTCGCATTTAAAACTAATTATAATTTAATGTTCTATTCTAATAGTCAACAGCATCAGTTATGCGGATGACATGATGCTGTTGACTCCATCAGTCACTGCTTTACGACAGTTGCTCGCCGTCATTTACGGCATCTCATGGGTTGACGGGAATGGTGTTCCCGTTAAAATAATGCATCAGATACATCACTGTCATACAAAATCGAAAATACCTACTGACTAATGTACCCAGGCGCTCGCTACAAGGAAAAACGAACCTAAGCTCAGAGAGAGGTGAAAATAATGTTGCCCGCCGTTTGCAGTCATGCGGAACCGAATGCTGGGATTGTACAAGGATTGTAATGTAAGTGAAAGACTTGCCTGAGAGCTTGCACCGTCGGCGATACACATAACTCGAGCGAGTGACGGACCCCTCTAATGACAATAATTTCTGCTAAAATTGCTGCTTACCCATACTCCACATATCGATTGGTGTTCCGTACTGCAGGCCGAGAATAACTTCAGGGCTCCGGTAGAACCTGGATTGTATGTACGTGTAGACCCTGGCGTGCGTGTAGCATGAGCTGCCGAAGTCTATGACCTTGATCGATGAGCTGCCTCGCGCTTTCAGAAGGATGTTTTCCTGGAAATGGATATAAATGGGTAGAAATGAAACTGTTTTTTTTTCGAATTGAAAATCGTGTATATTTATTTAATAATCGCAGTCAGTACTAAAAATCCGACCTCAAAAGTTTTTGGAATTACGTCTATTTGCCAAGTTTTATTGAAATCGGTCACCGGAAAGTGCGCGAAACCGGATTCATCCCCTAGTTTGCCACCCCTAGAGGTGGAATATTTTCTTCAAATTTCAATGGAACCGATACCCAAGTACCCTCTTTCCAACAAAAAAAGATTAACCAAAATCGGTTCAGAAATTCTCGCGTAACATACATTAAAAAAATACAGTCGAATTCAGAACCTCCTTCGGTTAAAAAATAAAGAGCAACCTGTCGGGCTTTTTATGGGTCTCAAGGTTTACATTTACAGTCATAATAAGGTGGTTAGCATTATTATTAGACACAGTGGTAAGCGACACGCCTAGCCCTGTTCATAACAGGTGCAGTGCCACTCAGAGCTTTAAATCGCAAAGATCTGAGGGGCACTATCACTGTGCCCGTCACCATGAGACATAAGTTGCAAAGTACCTGTACTTTGCACCTGTTATTTGTTTTTTCACACAAACCAACGTTTTGGGCCCTTTACAGGTCCCATGGTCACGGTTGACTGAGGTGGTACATTCATCAATCAGTTATGTCTAATATTAATGCAAACCACGCTATTTTTTCCACTACAGTTACAAAAGTTACTAATTAAATACCTTATTTTTAATTTTACCAAGAAACATATCAATTTACGTTACATTGTTTTACAAATTATTTTATTGTGACCTGACAGTTGGTTTGTTTGAAAAAACAAATATACGCGATTTAAAGACGCAAAAATAGTTTCATTTCCTATGTGTAATAATCGCGAAAATCTAAGAATATTAGTTGATAAAGTTGATACCTCCAGATAAAAATGTACATACCGGTTTCAGATCACAGTGTATAATATTCTCGGCCTCGAGCAGCCTGAGAGTGCGCAGGAGTGAGCTGGTGAACCGCCGGATGAGGCTAAGGCTGAAGCCCTGGTAGTTGTTTTTCTTTATCAGCTCGTACAGATTTATGCTGGAACGTAAACAAATGGTTCTTTCTTCATTTTACTCTACAGGATAAGTCAATTAAAATTAAAATATTCTGTTGTAAATAGTAGTATGTAATCAGTTATACTTTGCTCACTTAAGAAATAATACTGTTCATTTTGCTTGGCTTTATTTCAGAATTAATTTTTTTACAAACGAAAATAAAGTCATATCAAAAATGTATATCGTGTTCTATTCATTTCAGATGACATAGAACAAAATCATTAGTATATGTAAAGTACCTCTTTAATACTATACTGTATAATAATATACTACTGTTATCAACTCCAACTCCATTTGAGGTTTTATCGGCAACTTAAAGAGCAACGAAAATATCTACAGAAACCATAAATAGAAACATTAATAATAAATCACCAAGGCGGCCCATACGACCGCCGTTAAAATAAAAGTTATGAAGCATGCGAGCAATAAAACATGTTGAATTTATATTATAAACAATTTATGTATAAAAATAAATATTTCAGAAAGGTAACGGAAAATATATTAATGCTCTGATAAATTACTATTAATCTGAATTGGACGCAATATCTCGTTATACAACTTATTGTATCACTTACAATGTTATTATATTAAATATAAACGCCTACCAAAACACGATCAGCAATATTTATTAAGCTAGGTGTCTCATAACATTCCAATAACACCCTGGGATTGATATCACAGTTATATATCAATCATATGTCAGTCAGATATCACAGTGTCTGCAACTCTGAACAATTTTAGCAGGAAAGAAAATACTTATTTACAAAAAATAAAACTTGACAATAATGGATATTTCATGTAGTAAAGAACACAGAATTGTATTGAAAGTCGTAATTTTTTTCGTATAGAATTTTTATTTGAAGCTACAGTCGTTCAGTGTCATGGATCATATCCTAAAAATTGTTATTGGAACCATAAATAACCTTATTGTAAGGTTTTGCGCCTACCAAAAATATACTTGTCGTCATAAATAACACCTGTAATATGCTATTTTGCTTCTACAAAATGTACAGGCGCTTTAAGGAAAATAAATATTTTAGGAATTTTATCCTCTTAAGTTTTCTGTGCTTGTCTTTATCATCATCACTAGCCTATAGCAGTCCACTACTATACATAGACTTTCCTCTAGTTTGTATAATTTAGCCTAAAATCCAATAATTACAACCAACCTCATAAGTTCAAAACTGATGCACAAGTGGTTCCTAAAGTAGAAGTAGTCGAGCATGTGTATAACGTTGTGCGCTTGGTCCTTATCTTTGAGCCGCAGGTGGTCCAGAACCCTCACCTCCACCAGCGCCTGGTGGTGGAACCGTTTCTTGTTACGTATTATTTTTATGGCCACCTGGAAGATAAATAAAGTGTTTATTTGTACGTGTTATTTTGTTATACAGCAGAGGATATTTTCCTGAAACACGCTTCAGTTAGGAGGTAATCAATCGGATTCAGCCGATCAGAAAAAGCTTCATGTCCATGTGATAAGAGCGAAAAAGACGTTACACGCTTCCGCTCGGACCGCCGACGCGAAATGGAGATAAAGGTTTTTCTGACCAGTTTAATGCGTATCATGTTGACAAATGTAGTGACTCTCTTCATAGTTGCAAGTACAGTGGCTACAAAGTACATTCCAAAATTACGTTTTGCTGAATTTATTTTATTATTATTAATTCATTTAATTCAAGTAACATTGACTCATTAAAGTAGTAAATTATATACACCTGTGGTTGTTCTTAGAACGCACAAGAATATATGCTTTAATCATTGACTTACAATTATATGGACGTCGGGTCCGCGCTAAAAAGTGTCCGAACTTATAGGGCGTTAAAATCGTATACAGAGCGTCATTCACGCTTTAGTCTTCGTATGTTTCTTCTGACAGCGAAGTAAGCAAAATTAGACAGTACTGCGATGACATTACAATTTAAATTCAACGTTTTATCTTTTTCATATTCCTTTACATGTCACTACGTTTAAATATGTTGACTTGGGACATTTTTTTCGTGGTTTTTGTATTAGACCCGTCGTCCATTTATTTGTAAGTCAATGTTTAAACTTTAAACATTGTACGCCCGTAGCACAGAGGACTGCAAATAAGTTCACAAGACCTTAATGTTCATTATATTCAGACAATAAATGAAGTCTATTCTATTCGCAATCTAGACCATTTCTACCGAATTTATGTAAAATTCAATCGTCGTCTCGCCTCGCCGGTGGAAAAGCACCTTTAGGAGACACCGAGCGCCGCTCGCGATGCCTCCAAAATGGTTTATGTTTCAACTTTACTAAAGCAATTGCATTCCTCCAGCTTTCTAGATATCGAGACGTAATGTTTTTTTTTGTCAGTTACGCTTATTTTACTTAAAAATTAAACTGAAACTAACTAGATTTCATAGATTTCTCACAAATGGCGCTGCGGCAAAAAAGTCGTTAGAAAACCAAAAACAAAGAAAGCACATAGAGAAAACCGTTGGGTCTGCTGGTTCGTTCCGTAACTTAGTTGGGGCAGCGTCGGCCTGGTATACTGAAGACGCTGGTATCTTATTAATTTCTCAAAAATAATTGAATATCTTGATAGTAAAACATTGTGATAGTCAATAAACTTCGTCGAGTCAATCCGGCTAGATTCGAACCAACGGCTTCTAGCAAACCATACCAGACGCTATGCCAACTAAGCCACGGCACGAACCAGCGGACCTTATGAATATTTCTTTGTGCTTGTTGCAGATCTTTAATTTCGTTTTTTTTAGAACGTTTTGCCGTAGCGCCATATGTGAGAAACATATTTCTTCACTCAGCCCGGTACCTTTACAGCTACCAGCAGCTGACTAGAAATATCGCTTTAATAATTGTAATTAAGTTCGCCACAATGATATTCATGTATTTTACAGAAATTTCACAAAAAATTAATAAATAATACCATGGTAGTAAAACATTATAATATTTATTACAACCGACATTACGCGATTTAAATTTTTTGTCACACACAATTTTTTGTCCTTTTGAACTTTACCTCCTAGAAATAAGTTGTAAAAACAAATTTGTTACCTGACTACCAGTTCGATGGTCCAGAGCCCTGATGACCTGCCCGAAAGAACCCTTGCCGATGACCTCCAAGATCTCGTATCGGTACGCTATGTGGTCGTGTATTTGCTGCCATCAAAAAAATCACAATGTTATTTCTACTGTGTTTTTATTTATTGTTATTAACGGTTACCATGCCGGACTGCCATGGAGAGGTCCTGGATTAGATTTCCAAACCGGGAGAAATACGTGTGTGGCCTACATTTATTTCTCTCGTGAATTTGGGTGTAATTTGTGGTTATCTATGTGTCCACGGCACCCGCGACAATGGGTTTTCGTAGTGCGGGGCTATGTTGAGTGTGTGCGTTATTATTATTGTTAATTGCTAAACCAAGTTCATGTTATTTCATTTATTTTCTTGACACCACATTGTGTTAGTTTAGTATAAATGTATTGAATATAATAATATCAAAAGCTTGTGAAATTACATCAATTTGCCAAGTTTTGTTGAACTTGAATAAACCGAACTCCTCCCCCAATTTGCCATCCTTAGAGGTGGAATATTTCCTTCAAATTCAAATGGGACTACTACTTAGATACCCGCTTTCCAACAAAAAAAGGAATCGGCGAAATCTGTTCACAAGTATCGGCAAAATCACGTACACAAAAAATGCATATATACAGCCGAATTTAGAACCTCCTCCTTTTTTGCAGTCGGTTAAAAAATAGCCAACATTTTATTGCTGTATGGTGACCCAACGACGTTGTGACTAGATAGTCACTGTACTGTAGATTACCCTCCTTGCTTTTGTGACTTTGTTTATAGATATTAGTGCATTTTAATATACTGACTAGTAAATTTTCTTAAGCTGGTTTTGTTCCATGTTGGGACTGGAATTATATACTGGATAATGTAACTTCATTAATGTACGCGAATTAAACGTAAACCACCTCTTTTTTGTGTTAGTCATAGTTAAAACTCTAGGGATTGCTCTTTTCAAATAAACTTAAATGCTATGGATTACACTTTGAACCATTTTTTGTGGAATCTAGAGCCATGTCGTCTTTCCATACATCTTTATCTAACACGTAGTCGTCAATTTTGTAATATGACTTTTCAATCAAATTGTTAATGTAGTTTTTAAACTCAGGAAATGATAATCTTAATATGCTCCGGAATCTTCTTGTAGTTGTGGTATCAATCATATTATATAAGTTCATTGTAATAGACTTAGTTATTGTTATTTTGAGGCAACACCCTTGACGGACATAAGTCCTAGCTACCCATAGTATCCTAGTTTGGGAGCTACAAAGGCACATCTCTGTACCTATTCACACTTTGCATGAATATGAATGTGTGAATACACTTTATTACATTTATTATTTTATCTACACACATATCATAAACTCTAATTTGTTCAAAAACCGCAAATTACGACCAGCATAAAAGTAATCTGTTTTGTTAGGACAAATTTCTTATCTGTGAAAATGTTATTATTGCTTCTTAATAACATCCAATTCGATGCTATTATTACATTCAAATTTCGAACATCTCTGAAAGACAAAACAATTTGATTTGACCTCAATTCTAATATCAGTCGAGATGAAGTTTTATTCCAAATGAAATGTCAATAGAAAATAATTTTGACAATTTCACACGTTACTTGATATCGAACGATATGATAGTTGGGGCCGATTTTAGTTTGTCTGAATTAAAAATAAAAACTATGGTTGTGTGTCATGCGTGTGAAAAGTTTTTATTTGCCGCCTTTTCGCCATTCGTAACATGCGGTTCCTGAGCACATCACAGAGAGCTTATAATATGACTGTGTGTAGATAAAGCAGTGTATGTAACTGTACATAATTAGGCATTAAAACACTCGTGAGATGTTTTTATGAAACTCGCCTGTCAGGTCGTTTCGTAAACCCACACTCGTGTTTTAATGCCTTTCATTATGTAACAGTCACATAAACTACTATTAATGAACAATTTGCCTCCTAGTCGTTTATTAGATCTTTCATTACAAATAGCTTCTAGATTTAGTACCTCTCGTTGGTTCTGACTGAAAACCAGCGCCTTAGGGAACTTAGGCGTACGCTAAGTCAGCGCCATTCACTACTGTGACAAAAAATGTTTTATTTTTCCTGTTGTATTCAATATTCATATTCTTTATTTGCAAACATCGAGTATGTAATCAGAAAGAGAGACGACATGTCATTTAATTTGTTTGAAAACTATTCTGCCAAATCATTACGGTGACAACTGCGCTCCGATTGGCCAATTCACTTCAAAACGACCAGCTTAACCTGAGCTTTTGCTATAATGGACGAGAATTGTTTTTCGTCCATTATTCTCTCGTGAGTTTGGGTGTAATTTGTGATTGTCTACGTGTGTGCGTCTATGGCACCCGCGATACAGGGTTTCCAGGGTTAGTGTAGGGCTATGTTGAGTATGTGCGTTATTATTATTTTTAAACCCGCTCACACTCACGAGTCAAACTTCTTCATTTAAATAAAATCGATTGTTTTAAAAAATAGAATCGGAAACGCATTATGACATCACCAATTGATTAGACTTCGAGCTGTCAAAAGTTAAATAAATAGTTGGACATGGATCGGACGAGTATAATTGTAGAGAATTTAAAATGAAATTGGATAGTTTTTGTTAGTTACTCAGTGCTATTACAATATTGATCATTTTATTTTTACGGTGCACGACGTACCATTACTTGCCTCACGTCTGGCGCACTTTGGCCAGTAATCTCAGGCCTAAGGGTCGAAACACAAAACTGGGATGCGACGTCGCGTCTGCGTATGCTATCGACTCTACAGGGTAAAAGAAAGAGTGAAAAACATTAAAAATTACTGTATTTCCAATTCCATTTTTTTTCCAAACTAAAGTAGAAGGTAACATAAATAAAAATATAAAATAAACCTTTTCACGTCACTAGCTCAGGAAGACTTTCTTTCTCATTAGAAATCTGCGCGCAAAACAGGTGCATCTAACTTTTTCTCTCGATGAAAAAAAGAAGATAATGATATTTATGTAATATAAATCCAATGGTACAGTTTATTCTAATTATTGTTGACATTAAATTGACAATGATAACTAATTGTGATTATTAAATTGTTTTAATTCTTATTTATTATTATATCTAAAGTCTCGTGACTTGAAACCTTAGCAAGCGAAGCAATCTATTTTTGAATCTTAGCTTCCTTCGGTTGCACAGGTTGCAATATAAGCACTCGTGTCAAACAACAACTTTGCAGCCTTGTATAACAAATAACTATTGAACTTTGATATTACAAATCCTTGAAAGATTTCTTAGCAACATTATAGACACGCTACAAACCAATGGGTAAGAAATATGCGGGTCAATGAATCGGATATCTGTGACTTTTTATATTGACAACAAATCGGCAATAAATATTTAACAGATATGGCAAATGTATCCGAGTTAAACGAGACGGAATTGTCTTCCCCTGTGTAGGCGGAGGCGTTCGATTTCATGAAGCATTAAACCTCTCAAGATATGTTTATATTGTCATGACAAACCATATTGGACAAATATATAAACCATATTTGTGTTGCGAGCGTTTAGTTCTATGTACCGTTTAACAACAGAACATTTAGTCAAATATTTTGTATGCTCGTAAGTATATACGCCGAACGGTTACCATAACTGCCACGCAGAGGTCACAGGTTCGATTTCCGGGCCGGGAGAAATATTTGCACGGCCTACATTCATTTCTCTCATGAGTTTGGGAGTAATTTGTGGTTGTCTATGTGTGTGTTCATGGCACCCGCGACATAGGGTTTCCCTACCTCCTTATCCTTCAGTGTGTGCGTTATTATTATTATTATTATTAATATTTGTAAGAATTCTTCAATATTATACACTGTCATGTCATTCAGGTAATGAAATAATAATTTCATAAATTCTGCACAATCATTGCAATTCCTAATTTCAAGTGGAAGTTTGTTGTAGATCTTCGTAGCCATGTTACTCTCTTTTGACGTAGAGAAGTTTTACATGATCTAGTTTTCAGTTTATGAGAACGGCGCGCTCGTGTGGCGAATTGAAATAAATCAAGATGACGCTTTACGAAAAGTGAAATTTCAAATATATATTTAAGCATGGTAGAGTCTGTATTTTCTAATTTTTAAAATATGGTTGATAGCTATCTGTTTTTTTCAAGCCGCTTATAGCCCGAATACATCTCTTTTGAGCTTTGAATATGCGTTCAATGTACGGTGCATTTCCTAAAAATTATTGCTGATTATTGAAAAAAAAAAATAAGTCTATGGGTTACTAAAGAAAAGTTGTACGAAGTATGCCAATTTGTTGGCATTAGTTACAAAGTCTCGTACTCTAGATATCGCATTTGAGTGTGCAGACTGTGCAGTGTCTGTTGAGATTTTAAAAAAACTTATCGGTTTTTGATCAGACCATATGGATATTTAGTAGCAGTAGAGCTCGTTGTGGAAGAGTTCGTCCAGGGAAATACTGCCACTTACCTATTTCTGCCGCCAAGCTATAATATGAACCTACAGGAACATGGGACTTGTCAACTTATGTCTCAGGGTGACGGGCGCAGTGGTCCTCAGATCTTTGCGATTTAAAGCTCTGAGCGGGACTGCAACTGTTATTCACAGGCGTATAGCTTACTATCAGGCACACTATTCATTCGTCTCGTCACTTTATAATAATATATATATATATATCGCCATTTGATATGACCTGAATAAATCAAGATGTAATCTGAGACCGTATAGGTTTTTGTTTTTTAAAACATTATAAGAAATCACATTTATTTTCTAAATTTAAAAAGGTTTAAATTAATAGTGATATTTCGGTTTTTGGCGCAATCTAAATAATAAACTTAATGCGAAAAATAATCAGGATTTTTCTGATTGTTCTGATCGTAAAATTGTTTTGCAAAATTGAATCGAATCATAGCTTCAGGTATTTCTGGCAAGTTTTTGAAGGGGATCTGGCGTTTATTGAACTGGTTCGATTGATTAGGGTAAAAGATATGTACAAAAACAATACACCATACCATATTTAAAAAAAAATGATATGTCAAAATGCGGTTTACGGGTTTTCGTTCTGTTACTCCTCATTTGTCAAGTTGTAAGGCACAGAAGCGATCAAGCAAAGTCTCACCTTATGATACGAGCCATTTTCATCATCAAAGCCGCAGTTGTTAGGAAGATTCGATCTGGCGTTGACCTTACTGGCATCTATTCCGAGAAACCACACTTCTGGGTATTTCCTGATTTCGTTCCTTTCCCATTCCGTCAGTCTGTCACCGTAGAGCTTCAGGGCTTCTGTGGAAAATGGAAAAAAAATGTTATTAATAATTAATACAAAGATAGAAATCCGATCTGACAGTGCGACATAGATTTTCATATATTTCTCACTGGTGGCTACGGCAATAAAAATCGTTAAAACCTAAAACAAAGACCTTTATCAAACGCATATAAAAATTCGTATGGTCTGATAACTCGATATTATGTAGCTCTGTTGGCAAATATCGTGACATTCAATAAACTTAGAATTTATTAAAGCGACACCTCTAGTCAGCTGCTGGTAACTGTAAAGGAACCTCGCTGAGTGAAGAAAAGCTTTCATAGATTTCTCACAAAGTCGTTAAAAATAAAAAGACAAAGATCTTACAACAAGCACATAGAAAAATTCATAAGGTTCGGTAATGCGGTAGTTGGTTCCGTGGCGTAGTTGGCATAGCGTCTGGCACGGTTTGATGGAAGATGTTGGTTCGATTCCAGCCGGATCGAAAGAATTTTTTCTTAGTGTTTGATCTTTGTATTAATAATTATTACAAACTACTGGAGTAATTTTACAAAAATAATTGAATATGATTCAATGAACTTAAAAAACAACATCATGATACTAAATCATCATAATTTTATTACAGGCTATAAGTGAAAGTATGGTTCGTCGTCGGTCTAATTGTTTTTTCCGCAATGGAGTTAAATATTGAAGATATTTGCATAAATTTCAAAATATCTTTATTCGAATTATAAATATTACATTAAGGATTAGTAGCACTAGACTTCCTTGTGAAAACGTCCAGATACTGCTACCTTACCATTACCTTACCTATTTTTGCCGTCAAGTAGTAATACTCAATAAATTTATTGCATTCATATGGTACATACATGTCTTAAAATTAAAATAATGCTACACATATTACGAGCCCTTTATTAGGGATAACAATAAGAGCAGAGGTAGGCCGAGGTTCCAATTATTAATTAGAATTGTTATTTATCAAATAATGTAAAATAAAAAATATGTCATATAATAAGAAATATACGTCATATTATAAGCAGAATTATGTCACTTGAAAGTTTGTATTTAATTAGATTACAATAGCATAACTTTATAGTAACATGAGCATTACTGCGTTCCCTTTTGAAGGGTGCTGGTCAAATTACAGGCACATGGGACTTTTCAACTTATGTTTCAGAGCAGGCACAGTGGCAGTACCCCTCAGATCTTTACAATTTAAAGCTGGCAATGCAACTGTTATGGACAGGCGTGTTACTTATCACGAAGCGTACTACTTGTTCGTCCCGTCAATTAATATTATCTTAAAAAAAGTCAAATAATCATTTATTTCATAGGTGAAATTTTGATACTTGAAAACATCATTTTCTAAGCTACTGCTCGTTCACTAATCTGACCTCCTTGAAAAGAACAAGCAAAAAACTTTAGGCATTGCTCTTTTAAAATAAACTTAAATGCTATCGAATACACTTTGAATCAAATTTGTGTGGAATCTAGACGCATATCGTCTTGTCAACCATCTTTATGTAACACGTAGTCTTCAATTTTGTAATATGACTTTTTAATTAAAACACTTTTAAAGTACGTATACTGTTCCCCATCAAAAAATGGTTTGCCATAGTTAAATGAAATCGTCGTACCTTGAGTTTGGAATCACATGGAAAAGCTCTTGTATCTTATTCCAGCGCCGCGAGACTGTACTTTAACCTATACACGCCAACTACGCCATCAAATATTCAAAATGCATAAATGGGTGTATGCTTACTAGGGCGTAACGGAGAGCAATATTTCAAACGAGGGTTTATGTTAGTACCTACTAACATGATCGATACAAAAAATTATACCGCAATTTCATACCAATTTCACTGTTATATCACCAACCATTGCGTGAATGTAGTTTAATAATACAAAAATATATGGGAAGTAATAAAGGTACCGAAAAACAAATAAAATTGCAACGAAGTGTGACTAACTGTAATACTAAGTTGCGATAAAATGAGTTACTGAAAAATAAACTCAAAATATATCGACAAAATTATTTATATTTAGCAATCAATTAAGAGCTTGTCCAAATTATAATTCTAAGAAAAAAAAACTATATTTCCTAATAACGTACTAAACTTTATATTATCATCCGCTCACGCGATACATGCAGCCGTAGACGCATACCACACCTAGAGGTGCCGGTGATGATTTTATACCGATTTATCGGATATCGAAGTTATAACAGGTAAAAGAACTAATATTAATTGCTATTTCGGTAACTACTCTAGCAAACCATAAAGTTTTTAATGCCTGGGTCTGTCATTTAAAAAAAATAAAGAACTTCAAAAATACATCACGACAATCGTGTGTGTTATTGTTTGGGCTGGTGATTTCGGTGTTTATTTATTGAAAACATACCGTAAGTAGCGTTTTTTAAGTTTACTCTGAATATAAATGTTTATAAACTATACTTTAAGGAGTAACTTCATGGTAAACGTTAGAACAACTCAAACGGAATAATATCATATTTATCCAAGTACACCAAAAATTTCATTAGTGCTTTTTAAGTGCAGGATTTGCGGTGTATTACTGCATTTTATTTGAGATGTTTTTGTTGGTAGTACGGAGGGTATTTATTTAGCAATGCAGAATAATAATTTTTATTTATAAAAACTGTATTTAAACTGAATACTTTTCTAATTTGCGAAACCAAATTGCCGCCATTTTGCGGTAGGAAGAGAGCAATAATAAAATTAAACCTGACCCGCTGTGGTACTCGTTTGTTTGATAGTAGAGTGTAAATCCAAAATATACTTCTTAGGTTTTCGCGATTATGACATATTGAAAATGAAATGGTGTAATTAAAGGCTCACACACTCGTCTACTCCTCCCGTTTGTTTCTGTTTGTGAGTTGAAATCTACTGATTCATTCAAGAAACAATTTGAAACTATTCAAGGCTAGAGTGACTAGGCATTTCTTTCGCTCTACTAAAGCTTTCTCGTAATACTTAGCAGTTGAGATCCTTGTTAAAAAGTTTGTTCACGGAAGTTCCGCTACTATTTATATTTCTGCTACCGAGCAGTTTTAAGAGCGTTCCGGTTTTGAAGGGTGTTAGTAAAATAAACACTGGCTGTGCCCCCAGATCTTTGCAATTTAAAGCTCTGAGTGGTACTGTAATTGCTATAGACAGGCGTGTCGACTATCATCAGGTACATGACTTGTTCGTCCTGTCACTTAAAAAAAAATTGTATTAAATAAAAACCACGGTGACTTTACAAAAACGTTAGAAAGATCAAATACTCCGAAATTTAATTACAAGGCTTCTCCATTTTTTGACGGTAATCGGTTTATTTCAACGACGAGTCCCGAACTGACAACGTAAAGAAAATCAGGTTACAGAGGCCTTCAATCTCCGAAATACCGGGAATAAATAGAAAAAAAAATACAAATATCACTCAGTTTTACAACCTCCGCATAAAAAAGGCCACCTAATTCCAAATTTAAGATTCTTATTTCCTTTTCAATCTAACGTCACAGACGACTTTGTGTGCCTTGAAGAACTCTGTGCATGTTACATTAATTGACGTAATGTAGATACGAACACTTTGCTTTATTAGAAAAGTATATAAATAGCAATTCTCATCCCTAACCTATGTACGTTTTGTGTATTCTGAGACCTTTATCGGTTTAGGAGTCAGGGCGAATGTTATTTTTAGCTCATCGAGACGTATTTGTATAGGTACGTATTTGTGACGTCTACGTCACAGGATGCGGAGCCCGATATAGGCGGTCAATCTGTTAAAAAATTAAACAAACTCTTCTATGGGATAGTGTGAACTTTTTAACCGACTTCAAAAAAGGAAGAGGTTCTTAATTCGACTGCATATGTTTTTTTTTGTATGTATGTTATGCGATAACGCCGGCATTTGTGAACCGACTTTGATGATTCTTTTTTTGTAGGAAAGAGGGTACCTAAGGGTGGCATACTAGGGGATGAATGACTTTTGAGGTCGGTTTTTTAGTACTCTGTACTGAGGTTATGTAAATAAAGGACAGTTTTTGAATATTTTGCTATACTGTATTATATGGTGGTATGGTCAATGGTAGCAGTAGAGCGCCTTGAGAATGAATTCGTCTATTAGGAAGTATAGCCACTATACTCATTTTTTTGTACATTCAATCACAACAATACTAATAAATACAGAAAAAAAAATTATGTTATAGACAAAAAGTACCGAACACTTAAATAATAATAACATTTAAAATGCTTAAATATATAAAATAGAAAATTAATACTTGAACCAATTTAAATTTTAAGTAAATAATTTTCTTCTAATCCTGTAATTCTCAAACGATTAGAACAGGGAATTATTCCCGCTCAAGTGTCTTTGCTCTCGTCCAATCACACTTCAGCGCGGTAACAACACAACCAATGACAATAATTCCCGCTCATGTGTCTATTTTAGCTTTCGGCCAATCATACGTCAGCGCGACGACACAACGGGTGAATTTCAAATAAAGAAATAAACACTTCTTTGTATCAAGTATGCATGTAATAGAAACGATCATTTTATACCGTAATTCGATTCAACGCCTCTAAACGCAGTTTGTGAACTTTTTTCAAGCTGTAGACGGTTGTTTTGTAATTACTATAGCTGACGATTTGTTTTCCTTAACAATACGATGGGGAATATTAACGTTTGAGTATATTACCGAAAGTAGTCGCTGATTGTTGCACAAATCTACCACAGAAAAATTTATTTAAAATAATGTAAACATAACATCGATGGACGGCCGAGTAATGAAAAACTGCTTTGAATTTTTTTTTATAATACCATGTAACGGGATGAACAAGTCGTGCGCCTGGTGGTAAGCGACTGTCGACCCATAACAGTTGCCTCTCAGCGCTTCAATCAGAAAGATGAGATATAAAATTGACAAGTCCCATGTGCCTGTAATTTCACCAGCACCCTTCAAAACCGCAACTCACTAATGCTCTCATTGCTGCTTGGCGGCAGAGATTAAACAATTTAA